AAGAAATCAAAATTGAAATTCGAAAATTCCTTGAATCAAAAGAGAATGAAAACACAACATACCAAAATATTTAAGACACAGCAAAACCAGTGATCAGAGGGCAATTTATAGCAATAAATGCATACATCCAAAAAAAAAAAAAAAGAAAGAACCAAAATCAACACTTTAAACCAAAATCTCCAACAATTAGAAAAAGAACAGAAAGAAAAGCCTACAGTCACCAGAAGAAAGGAAATAATAAAGATTTGAGCAGAAATCAATGAAACAGAAATAGAAGGGCAATAGAAAAAATCAACAAGATCAGAAGTTGGTTTTTTGAAAGGATCAATAAAATTGACAAACCACTGGCAAATATAACAAAGGAAAAGAGGGAGAGACCACAAATAACATGAATAAGAAATGAAATGGGTGACATCACAACAGAACCAACTGAAGTAAAAGTATAATATCAGGATACTATGAAGAACTGTCTTCCAACAAATTTGAAAATCTGGAAGAAATGGACAATTTCTAGAAACACACCACTTACCAAAGTTAAAACAGACTGATGTGGAAAAGTTGAACAGATACATAACAAAAGAAGAAATTGAACAGGTCATCCAAAAATTACCAATAAAGCCCTGGCCCAGACAGTTTCACTGGATAACTCTACCAAACATTCACAGAAGAACTGACACCATTCCTACTCAAACTATTCAAAAATATAGAAAAGAATGGAATCCTCCCTAACTCATTTTATGAAGCAAGCATAACCTTGATACCAAAACCAGGCAAAGACGTCACTCAAAAGGAAAACTACAGACCAATATCCGTCATGAATATAGATGCAAAAATCTTCAACAAAATCCTAGCCAATAGACTGCAACAACATGTCAAGAAAATCATTCATTATGACCAAGTGGGTTCATATCAGGTATGCGAGGATGGTTCACCATTAGAAAAGCAATCAACATCATCCACCACATAAATAAAACAAAGAAGAACCACATGATCATATCAATTGATGAAGAAAAGGCATTTGATAAACTGCAACACCCATAACTTATCGAAACTGGAGTAGAAGGGACATTCCTCAACATAATAAAGGGCATCTATGCAAAACCAACAGCCAACATTATTCTCAATGGAGAGGGACTGAAACCATTCCTCCTGTGAACAGGAACCAGGCAAGGATGCCCTCTATCACCACTTTTATTCAACATTGTACTGGAAGTCCTAGCCAGGGCCATAAGGCAAGAAAGGGAAATCAAAGGCATCCAAATTGGTAAAGAAGAAGTCAAACTATCCCTATTTGCTGATGATATGATCCTATACCTAGAAAACCCAAGAGACTCAGTCAAAACTCTACTGGAACTAATTGAGAGATTTAGCCTCATGACAGGATATAAGATCAACATCCAAAAATCAGTTGGATTCCTCTACACCAGCAAAGAGATTGCTGAAAAAGAAAAAGGAAATCAATACCATGTGCAATAGCTACCAACAAAATAAAATACTTGGGAAAAAATCTTACCAGGGACACAAAAGACCTATACAAAGAAAACTATAAAAAACTACTTCAAGAAACCATAAGCGATTTACATAAATGGAAGAACATCCCACAGTCATGAATAGGAATATTGAACATTGTAAAAATGCAATTCTACCCTAAGCAATCTATACATTAAATGCAATCCCAATCCAGATCCCATCAACATTTTTTAGGGATATGGAAAAACCAATCACTAACTTTATATGGAAAGGAAAAGACCTCGGGTAAGCAAAGCACTACTGAAGAAGAAGAAGAAGATTGTAGGAGGTCTCACTCACACTGCTGGATCTCAAAACCTGCTATACGGCCACAGTAGTCAAAACTGCCTGGTATTGGTATAATGACAGACACATAGACCAATGAAATAGAATTGAGGACCCAGAAATAGATCCATCAACCTATAATGAGCTGATCTTTGACAAAGGGCCAAAATCCATTAAATGGGGAAGAGAATGTTTGTTTAATAAATGGTGCTGGCAAAACTGGATATCCATTTCCAGAAAAAATGAAACAAGATCTGTACCTCATACCATACACAAAAACGAACTCCAGATGGATCAAAGACTTAAATGTGAAACCTAAAACTATAGAGTTCCTCAAGGAAAAACTAGGGGCAAATTTAGGGGCCCTAATATATGTCATAAATAGACTATCAAATATAACCCAAAATGCACAAACAGCAGAAGAGAAACTAGATGAATGGGGCCTTCTAAAAATTAAATTTTTATGTGCTTCCAAAGACTTCTCCAAAAGAATCAAAAAGAACCTACAGATTGGGAAAAAATATTTGGCAATGACATATCTGACAAGGGACTTATCTGTACAATTTATAGAAAACTCCAACACCTCAATAACAAAAAGACAAATAATCCAATTAAAAAATAGGCAGAAGACTTGAATAGACACTTCACCAAGGAGGATATTCAGGCAGCCAACCGACATATGAAAATATGCTCACGATCATTAGCCATTAGAGAAATGCATATCGAAACAACAATGAGATACCATCTTGCTCCAGCAGTAGTAGCAAAGTTCAACAAGACACAAAATAACAAATGCTGCCTAGGATGTGGAGAGACTAGGACTCTCATACACTACTGGTGGGACTGTAAAATGGTACAACCACTGTGGAAAACAGTATGGCAACTCCTTAAAAAGTTGGAAATAGAAATACTATTTGACCCAGCCATTCCTACATATATATTCTGAAGAAGTGAGAGCCATGACAGGAGCAGACATATGCACACTCATGTTCATCATAGCACTATTTACAATAGCCAAAAGATGGAAACAACCTAGGTGTCCATTAACTGAGGAATGGATAGCAAAACTTTGGTACATACGCACAATGGAATATTACGCAACTCTAAAGAATAACCTAGAATCTGCAAAACACCGCCTAACATGGATGAACTTGGAAGACATTGTGCTGAGTGAATTAAGTCAAATCACAAAAGGACAAATATTGTATTAGTCCGTTATTGTAAAAATCAAGGCAGGGGTTTATCTATGGAAGGAAATTTTTTTTGTTGGTTACCAGAAGTGGTAGGGGAGAGGAGGGAACAGTGTTAGATAGGTAGAGATAAGTACTGATTTGGGTGAAGAGAGGGGCAATGTACCAAATATGAGTGATCAGTATGGTGGCATTGAGGAAGAGGAAGACAGAGAGAGGTACATGGGAGGTACAGACAACAAAAATGAACCATTTTGCACTTCAGTACTGCATTGTCAGTGAAGGCAAACATGAGTATACGGTGGATAGATGGGTGGACAGGCTGAATTATTAGGTACGTCTATGAAGTGGGGAGTGTACCCAACATCATGTATAGAGTTGTCAGACAGTGGTCCGATATGTGTATTTGTATGATCTGAATTCCCAGGTGTATAGTAGAACTGACAAGGGACAAGGTTGTAGTCACTTCTTGGTCACAGCCAGCTACCCAGAGGGACCGAGTAGTTGAACCTTTGGGCTCGGGACCATGGTCACAGGGGACATCAAGCTCGATTGGCTTAACATACTACACAAAACATTATTCCACCTCCTACTTTGGCAAGTAGCATCTGGGATCTTAAAAGCCTGCAAGTAGCCATCTCATTGCAACGATGAATCTCTCCTCATCCAGTGCAAAGAAGAATGAAGAAAACCAGAGATTCATGGAAACAATTGGTCCTGTCACCTGGCACACCATGTGAGCCACAGCCTGTATGACTATGAGACCAGAAGAACTAGATGGTTCCTGATTACCAATGTCAACCACTCAGAGGAGGATATATGTAGGAGACCCTGGATAGAGAGGAAGAACAACGTGGAACAAAACTCAAAAGCATTTTGGAAAAAATAAAGGGAGACCAGGTTTACTGGTCTGATAGAGCCTGGTGGAACCACTGAGACTGTGGTCCCTAGCTGCCCTTCAAGTCTAGAATTGAACCCACACCTCTGGCTTCCAGCCAAGCAAAAGACAGGCATAGGAGTTGAACATTTACCTGAAGTAAATATACTCCTCGGAGGAAGGTTGGGCAATCCTACTTCTGTAGTGATACTGCCTCGGAAACCCAAGGAGGGGTCACTATGAGTCAGGTTTGACTCGACGGCACACAACAACAACAAATACACTCCTTGGAGAGAACAATCATGGGAGAAAGAAGGGCTGTTTATGCACAGGGAGTCAGCTCAGGGGGCAGGGTTGCATGGAGGGATGAACACAGGGAAGAGGAGGTGACTGTCAGGAGGAAGTGGGAGGGGAGCTGTTGCATTGGGCTAAATTGTGGTCAATGTCATGAGACAAAGTGTATGTGAACCACTGTATGGGAAGTGAATGTGCTCTGTAAATTTTCACTCAAATCACAATAAAAGAAAAAAAAAAGAAAAGAAACACAATCCTTAGAGTTATTTTCTGTTTTTAAAGTTCTTAATATCTAATCCAAATCCATTCATTCTGTTGTAGTTTAGATCTGCTCCCTCTTATCAATTATCAGTGAAAACAGAGTGATATCTTCTATCACCCACACAGTACCTCTTCATAAATGTTTTCACCATATTGAACTTCACTTCAGTTGTTTCTTTCAAAGCAAAAGGAACCTAGTTTTGGGACGGATACTTCAACTAATACTGCTTTTGATGGGTATGATTTTAGAGTAATATGTTAAAAAGAGAAAACATACTGTCACTCTTTCCTATTGTCTACTTCCCCTCCCCTCCATGATAGACATCATTTATCTTTCATAGTATTCTTTCCCCAGGAGTCCTAATAAGTTATTGGAATCTTGAACACAAAGCATTGAACATCTACTGTCAGTTGCTTGAAGTTGGCAGGTGAATTGAGATCTAGTTTCCATACAGGCATTAGAATTTGTTTTTGTTATATAGTAGGTAGATACTTAAGTACAACTGTTATATTTTGAATACTCTACCTTCAGTTGTCTCACAATTTTTTTAAAGTTATATGGTTTTTTTTTTTTTTCTCAAAAGGTTCAACATACAAATTTAGGGTCATTGCCATTAACCATTATGGTGAGAGTTTTCGGAGTTCAGCTTCTCGACCTTATCAGGTGGCTGGGTTCTCTAATCGTTTTTCCAACCGTCCAATAACTGGGCCTCACATTGCATACACAGAAGCAGTCAGTGATACTGAGATCATGCTGAAGTGGACAGTGAGTAAAACATTTCTCTAATTAGAAGATGTTCTGTTTAGGTTTTATTAGAAATAAATTTAATGTCTTCATGCCATGTAACTCTTAACAAGTTTTTGAACTTATTTGAGGAGAAATTCAAGAGTACAATTATTTTTCTAAAAGCACATATTATAAAAAATAGGATTAAAAATCAAATTGTTGTCTCCTCAGCTTTCATACAAATGCTTTCATTTCATAATTTATTCATTGTGACCCAAATGTACCTTTATGCTTTTGGACCTAGTGGAGTTAATGTTGCTTTATTTTTGTTCAGCCTTGCAGTAAGTTAACTGCTCTTAATACCTTTAAATATCTTTGATTACATTAAAAATGATCAACAATGATGTTTTCAAAATGAAGCTAGAAAAAACATCACAAAGATAAATACCTCTTAATGGATGTGAAAATTACATTTATTTTGTCTGTGACAAACTTTTTTTTTTTCAGTACATTCCATCAAGTAATAATAACACTCCTATTCAAGGATTTTATATCTATTACCGGCCAACAGATAGTGACAATGACAGTGATTACAAAAGGGATGTTGTCGAAGGTAAGTCCCATTGTTAAGTCCTAGAAAAGGAGCTTTGGAAGAGAGGTTTATAAATACGAAAAATGTCATCTCAGGTTAAGAGAGAGTAAAAATGGTATTAAAAAATAAAATAGCATATGTGCTGTTGCTGTTGCATTCATCCCAGAGAAAAATATTTCTCCAATTTAATGTATACAGGACCTTATGTTTTGTTTGGGAATGCTGAGTTATAAAGATAGGGAGGAGATATGATTTGTTAGTAGTTCATCTGAAAAACAGTTCTGTTTTCTGCTTCATTTAAACGAATAGTGATGCCTGAGTATAAAAATTGTTTGCAATTTTTAGCTATATGTGAGAAGTGTATCAATTAGTAGTTAGTGACTATTCTGCAATTTAGTCCTACTCTTCATTTTAGTTAGCTAGGTTAAGGGAGTTGGAATGTCAGTTTTTTATTTTTAAAAATTTAGATAGGTTAAACATTTGTTATAAAACAGTCCTAAGCAAGGCAAATGTAAATAAAATTAGTATCTCTTAACAGTTTTATTGAAGGCTGTACTAAAAAAAGCTCACGTCTTGAACATACTATTCACATATAGAGATACCGAGAAATTGGAATGCATGTCCAGAAAAAACAGCCAAGGTGATGAAGGGTATTAAAACTGTCCCTTTCTTCTGCTTTTAAGATATAATGTGGAATTTTGCGTATGGTCTCAGGGTCCTGCATCATCTTGCTGACCCCTACCCACACCATCAACTGTGCCTCATATCTTCCTTTCTCACTCTGTGCTCATCACACTAGCCTTCTTTCAGTTCCTTGTTTGCACCAAGATTTTTCTTATCTCAGGTCAGGACATTTGCTTGTGGCATTGCCTATTGTCTAGTGTACTCCTTTCTCAACTCTCTCTAGGCACTCTGACTGTTCTCACCTTAAATGTTACTTCCTTAGATAAATCTTCCTTGCTACCTCCATTCTCCTTTCCATCAGACACTTTTGTTATAATTTCAAACTGCATCCTTTCTGTTTATTTCATAAAAGTTATCACAGTTTTGTGTGTGTATAAAATTATTTGCTTTCAGTTTTGTCTCCCCACTAAATATTAACTTTCTTATGGGCAAGGGACCTTTTTGTCCACTTCTCCAACCTCATAATGGTGAGCAATTCAATATTTATTGAATGGATGAATGAATGGAGTCCAAAAAGAACTGTGGAATGGCTGGGGATGTTCAGATTAAAAAAAAAGAAGACTAAAGAAAACAACATGACAGCTGTCTTCAAATATTTAGGGACTGTTATGTGGACGAGGAACTAAATTAGTTGGGAGGGAAGAATTACAAGGAAATCATGTAAGGAAGAACTTTCTAACATAAGTGTGTAATGAAATAAATTCCCTTTGCTAATTGTGCAAGTGTTGAGTAGAGGCTGGATGCTTATTCTCAGTAATGTCTTGGGAAGGGATTCTTACTTTGGGAGAATGCTTTATTTCTAAAGTCTTTTTTCACTCTAAGATTGTGATTCTTGGAAATATTAAATGCCCTAATGGATTATACCATAAATTGTCCTAGGGCCAAGATTGATTTTATATGTCATCTTGATGTCAAACACTGCATATAGTTTTTGGTACATGAAGTCACATAATAAATACTTTAGGTATGCCATGTCACATTTCTGTAAATGGTGTGACATTCCTTTTAATGTTTAACCAAATGGAATTACTTTTGTGTAATACAATTAAAAGTTCAATGGTCTGTATTGTAATACATGGTACATAGTAAATGCTCAGTAAATATTTGTTGAATTGTTGAATGAGGAGTGATTATTTTTCTTTCTTCAATTTGGAAAAATTGGTAAGCAATTTGTTTCTAAAATCTATGTTAAACAAAGAATTGGGAAAATAGGGAAAGGTAATTGTTAGTGGCAAAATTTATCTATGTTCTTAGAAGTGAAGTTAGTAGCTACTCTTGGGGAGAGTAGTGACTAAAGGAGGCATGAAAGGGACTTTTGGGGTACCAGTAATGTTCCCTTTTTTTGATCTAGATATTGCTACCGTGGCGATAAAAATTCATTGAGTTATGTGCACACCTCTATATGTATATTATACTTCAGTGTAAAATCTATACATAAAAAGAGAAATGGAAAGGTAATTGTTAATGATTATTCTGCATTTTAGTCCTATTTATGTCTTCATTTTAGTTCAGCTGAGTTAGAGGAGTTGGAGTATCAGATTTTCATTTTTAAAAATTTTTGACAGAGGTTAAGCATTTGTTATAAAATAGTTCTAAACAAGGTAAATGTAAGTAAAATGAATATCCATCTCTGTCTTTTTCTCTGTCTCTCCCCAGTCCCCTTTTTGTTTTACACTTTAGAAATAGCCACTGGTAAGCAGTTTTTAAATTATATTCTCTTGTAGTTAAATCTTTGAACTTTTACATCCTTCTGTAATGTGACTATTGAGCATGGAATGGGAAATTACTTTAACAAAACTTTTGTATTCAGTAGCATTGTCTGCAAATGTGAGTTTTGCCTTATGGTTTACAGAGAACTTGTTTATAAATGTAATATACTGAGCAGTTAGATGTTTAAGTGGGCTTCACTGTGCTGGGTAATTTGCTTATTCCTTATTTTCAAGTTTATGCATTTGAAATTTTTTTTTGTGGCTGTTGGAAGCTATTTTTTCCCAAACCTGGTAACAAAAGCATTCATCCCTTATGCATAAAAGTTTTCTATAAAATGAAATTTTAGATTACTTATGTGTATTGACCCAACATTTTTTAAGCTTTTGAAATGAAATTTAGAACTGGATTTAATTATGTAAGAACAATTATATTAAATTTTTCTGTCTTCTGAATTAAGTTCCACATTTAGATCAACTATAATGTTTCCAGCATACCAATGCTTCTATGATGAATGTCTTGTAAACTTAGTTTTGAATAAATCAAGCTATTGGCCCTCCTGGGAGCTCTGGTAGCATAGTGCCTAAGGCACTTGACTGCTCACCAGAAGGCTGGCGGTTCAAATCCACCAGCCACTCCTCGGAAGGAAGGTTGGGCAATCCTTCTTCCGTAGTGATACTGCCTCAGAAACCCAAGGAGGGGTTGCTATGAGTCGGGGCCGACTCGACGGCAAACAACAACAACAACAACATTGGCCCTCCTAATCTTTTAAATCTGTGCTTTCATTTCTTTCTGTGGTAAATCCCTTACCTTTTCTATAATACCTTTTAGGAGAAATTGTTTGTTAAGCAAAGGATATGCTTTGGCCTTTTTAACCATAGGGAGAATTACTATAACAACTGAAAATTAATCTGACAAGATAATTTTAATTATTTTCTCTTATTAGTAACATTTCAGAAACCCAGTTGAATCTTTCAGTGGCCCTTGATCCTAAAACAATCAGACTTTCTTCTCTATAAAACATGGGTCTATATGAATGAGGGATTTTGTATTGGTGACTGGGAAAGGAGGGTTGAGCTTCCAGATTGAAATATTTTTCATCTGTATTGACTTAGAAAGGGGCCTGGTGATAGGGTCCTGTCAGCAAAATAGATTTGAAGTTGGCGAGTGTCAAGAGGATGTGGGGAGTGGAGTTTTGCTTTATTTTTTTCTCCTTCTTTAATTAATTCTTAAATCAGTTGGTGGTATAGTTGAGTTTCTAAGAAACATGAAAATAGCTTGAAGAGCTATTTCCAAGAGGGATTAAAAGTGCTTGAAGAGTTAATTGAGTCTTACGCAAGTGTCCCTGTTTATTAAAGTTGGTCACTAGTCCATGGACAGTGATTTCTACTGAAGTGTTCAATTTAGGAGTGTTTCTAAATGAAATGTTGGCTGTGTGCCACTGATAACAGAATTATTCTATTAGAGATACTTGTGTAGTTTGAAGAGCTTGGCTCAAAAGAGAAGAACTATTAGGAGCAACAGCTAAGAGTTTGCCTGGAAAGGCACCATGTGTTGATCTCATACATAGCATTGCTTTCTGGTGGGGGGACATAGAGGATTGACTTTCTGGGCTAAAACAGGGATCCAAAGGAGTTGGAGCTTCTTACCTATGCATTCAACTAGTATGTATTTTATAAACAAGTTGTCAAATTTTTTTAATGAAATAGACTGTTGCTACCAATAAATGAATATAGTTTTAATTAATTTTATTTGTTCTCTTTACCACTTTTCTCATGCCATGTAATGGACATGTTATTTATCTGTAGTGCATTATTAAAATACCTGTACTAAGTACAGTTGTATTGTACAAATAGCATTATATGGTGATAAGTGCTACTCCCACCTCATTTTGAAAATATTACATTCTTGTATTGACATTATCAGTTAGGCTATGAGAGGTTTAAATCTTATCATTTCTTTTTCTTTCTAGGTTCAAAGCAGTGGCACATGATTGGCCACCTGCAGCCAGAAACTTCCTATGATATTAAAATGCAGTGCTTCAATGAAGGAGGAGAGAGCGAGTTTAGTAATGTGATGATCTGTGAAACTAAAGGTAGGGGAGGGGTGAGGGTTTTTGCTTTATCCCTGGGCAGCGGGAAAATTGTAAATTCTGGATTCATCCTTCTGGCTATGGATATATTTACCTAAGGAAATTTATGTCTTGGGCCATTTTCTAGATATATACATTCAGAATGCCCCAACAGAAGGTACAATATATTGGCTAGAGCACTTATCTAAAAAAATAGCTTTTATAAGCATTGATCCTGCTTATTAATTTCTGTGGAATTCCAAGTCAGTCCACTCCCTCTCTTTTTCTCCCTGAAGAGAGAATATAAATATTTGCTCACTACTTTGAGATTGCTGAATTAGAATACTAAAACTTATGTAAGACTTTTAAGGAAAAGTGCTACATAGTTTAAAGTAGTTTCTTGAATGTCAGATGTGTAAAACACTACCTACTTGTTTAAATGTAGCAGAGACTGCAAATTTTCAATTAATATTCTCAACTCTGCCTACATACAAAGATTAACTTTGTATATATAAATATTATCATCTTTTAAAACAAACAAGGAAACCACTACCAACAACAAAAAAGCCAGGAGATACCATACATGAATAACAGAGCCAGCTAATGTAGGTATTTAGGAGCTCTGGTAGCGTAGTACCTAAGGCACTTGACTGCTAACCAGAAGGCTGGCGGTTCAAACTCATCAGCTACTCCTCGGAAGGAAGGTTGGGCAGTCTACTTCCGTAGTGATACTGCCTTGGAAACCCAAGGAGGGGTCACTATGAGTCAGGGCTGACTCAGCATAACAACAATGACAATATAGGTATTTATAAAGTACTTGCATCCACCAGTTAAACCACTTTCTGTGGAACAAATCTGACTTATGACAATGCCATGCGTGTCAGAGGAGAACTTTGCTCCATAGGATTTTCAGTGGCTCATTTTTCAGAAGTGGATCACCAGGCCTTTCTTCTAAGGTGCTTTTGCATGGACTCAAACCTCCAACTTTATGGTTAGCAGCTGAGTACATTAACCGTTTGTACCACCTTGGGACCACAGTCTCAGTTAATCTTCACAGCCACCTTGGTGATGCTGTCTACTACAAATAACATCAAAATTCCCACTTGACTGGTCTCAACATTGAGGAAATGTGTTAATCCCAAAACAGGAAGTCCTGAAGTAGGTAACTAACTTCAAGCTTGTTTTAATTAAGTAGTTCAGTGCCATCATCAAAGACCCAGTGTTTCCCATCTTTCCTCTTTGCCACCTTCCAACCATTGGGTTGGCCCTGAGACTAGCACTGCTCATCGTTAGCTACAGTTTCGGGCTTCACATCTAGATGTGGTAGTGCCTGGCAGAAAAAAGGAAATTTTCCTTGTGTCTATTTTAAAGAACAAAGAAAAATCTCCCCCAGTGTCCTTTGGTCCATCTTCCTTTATGTTTCCTTAGCAAGAATTTAGCTACATGTCTCTCCAGACCATTCACTGGAATGGAATGATCAATCAGAATTTACCCCAATGTTATATGGGGGTCAGGTAGATACCTAAACAGAATTAGGTCTCTGCTAGCATGGAAGAAGGAAATGGTCATTGAGTGGACAGCCAGTAGTATCGGCTACAATTGATTTCATTATCCCTATTTAAAAATCTCAGATTAAATTACAAAGTTAAAACTTTTTAATTCTAATTTTTAATTAGAAATGTATTGATATAGAATCTTTTAAGTTCTAAATCATGTCTTTCTTCTGAAAAATCCACATTTTATATATATATAAATACACACACACACACACACACAGATCTTAGACTTACCTTGATCCATTTGATGCTAATCAAATGCATATATATTTCAATGTCTTTTTGTACCAGACACTGTGAAGTGTTAATGAGCATTTCTTACTTGCCTCTAGAGTGCTGTGATAATTGGAGTGAAATGAAATAAATCATCTCTGTCCCCAAAACATTTGAGAATCTAGCCGAGCACAGACAATGCCATCACTATTTATAATAGTATAACTATGTATATACAAGTATGTATGTATGTATAATCATATACCTCATTTTCTCACTTCACTGGGGAGTAAAAAGTTCCACTTACAAACTTTCAGATCAGTGAAAGGGAAAAACTTCTTAAAAATGTTAAGTGTTCCTATTGGATGGCTTTCTAAAATGAATTACACAATTCCCAGCCTGTTTAAATAGAAGCTATATTTAATTTTGCCTTCTAAAAAGTGACCCAGGGTTCTTGCTGTGAGCAATGATTGTTTTATCTTTAGTAATTCAGTGAGGTTTCCAGGAATGAGAGAGATGTTGAAGGCTAGCCATGTCTTCCTACTCTTAAAGATCACAGACTGCCATGATTTTTAATCTGGTTTCTCTTTATGTTTTCTGTCCTATTCACCTTCCACTTCAAGCCATCTGTCCTCAGTTTTTAACTTTATCAAGGAGTTAGAAACTAGATAATCAAGCTTGGTGGAATTATGAGTAAATAGTGAATAAACCTGAAAGACATCCCCCTGAGTAATCATGATCATTAGTGTATAGTCATTTTGCCTCAGAAAACTTCTTTGTTTTCTTTATAGAGTTGGCAAGGATCTGAGAATTGTATAATCCAGCATACCACATGAAGAGGTTTCCTTTATAGTCTCTGTGCCAAGTATTTATCTAACTTCCAGTGATGGAGAGCTCATTCCTTTGAAAGACACAGGCTTTTCTTTCCTGATTATTGGCTGTGTTCTGTGTTGTTGAAGTGTTAGAAAATTGAACTCCAAATTAGTGTTGTTTATTGAAGTAGATTTTTTTAAAGGCTACTTTGCTCCCATGGCGTGTTAGAGCCATAGCAGGTAACGTAGTATAATAAGTAGTAATAATAGCAAAATTGATTGAACACTTACCCTGTGTCAGGCTCAATTCTAAATGCTTCTCATTGATTAATCCATTTAATCTTTATTACAACCTTTGCTAGAGCCTTTATTGTCACCTCTATTTCTGAAAGACAGTAACTGTGGTTCATGGAAGTTAACATCTTCCAGCTAATGATGAGTGGAGGGGCTGAGATATAAACCTGGGAAGTCTGCTTCAGAGATTTGACTCTTGGCCATTGCCTTGTTGGGACATTTAGAGCATCAAGAGCATGTGATTTGAGGACAGAGAGAACAAGTTTCAAGTCATACATGTTACTAGCTTTTTTATTGCTGTTAGCCAGAATACCAATGAATTAGGTAAAAGCACTGCATTTATGTGGACTCAACAGTTTCCATAGTTGGAATGCTTAATTTTATGCATGAGACTGTTGGAATTATATATGATTGATCTGGAATCCCTGCATGGTACAAACAGTTAAGTGCTCAGCTACTAACAAAAAGACATCTTGGAGAGTTTTAAAGTCTACCCAGAGATACCTTGTAAGGAAGACCTGGTGATCTTTCAAAAGATGACAGCCATTGAAAACCTTATGGAGCACAGTTCTATGCTGACACATATGGGCTCACCATGAGTCTGAATCAGCTTGATTGCAGTTGGTTACTGGTTTTGCTTGCTCTTATAGTCCAAAGCCATATCCTCTAATATTGATCACATGGTAGAGGTATGAAATATATGATTCTGAATCTTATTCCAGCTCAAAGTATGTCAGATAAAAAAATTTTTGGCCCATCCATAAGTTGAAAACTTTTATTTCAACTCACATGAGAGTCTTCTACAAGTTCAATTAAGCAAATAATCATAACTTGGGTTGTACCAAGTATACATGTTTCTTTGCTCTTATGATTTCTCTACAACTTGTGGGCTAAGTCTGTTCATGATCTAAAACTTTGGCACATAAGATTTTTAAACTTTTGAGCCCTCTCTGTGACTCATTGGTGGTCAGATCATCTCAGTCCCAAGTGTAAACAGAGTGGCTTGCATTCCTAACCAGACCTCCTTCAGAGAATAAACCATTTCATAGAGAGTATGACATCAGTTTTCCTTTATATTTTAACTAGTGAAGCGTGTTCCTGGAGCATCTGAGTACCCCATCAAAGACTTGAGTACCCCTCCAAATTTCTCAGGAAGTGGAGGAAACACTGGGCCTGCAACAAGCCCAGCCAGAAGCAGTGATATGTTATATCTGATTGTTGGCTGTGTGCTGGGTGTCATGGTCCTCATTCTTATGGTTTTCATTGCCATGTGCCTGTGGAAGAACCGCCAACAGAATACCATACAGAGTAAGTAATTCATAACTATTTCCTTCTGTTTTTCTAAATATGAATAGAAAAATATTGTCAGAATAAATAGTGATTTCTAACACTTTGATATGTTAGTGTCATGGTATGAAACATATTAGATCCTCTTCATTCAGAATAGATGACTTTAATACTCTTTTAGCTATAAGCCAAAATAAGTGGAGCATCAAATTAAATTGCCCAGTAGAAATAAACAATAAAGCCAAACTAAGCAGGTCACTAAATAAATAGCTGACTTAGTGCTGGGAAATTCTGGCTTTGTTGGACCACCAAAGAGGATGAGTATTTGAAGCATGAGTTTTGCAGTTGCTGCAGGAACTCCTTCATGATGGTAGAAATTGTCAAAAGTGAGTAGAAAGGGCATAATGGAAAGGAAGACTTGTAAGTTATTGTCACTGAATGATACTCACAGATGAAGACTACACAGTCCTGTTTTTGTACCTGATGAACCACGACTGCTCCAGAGTGACATCCTCTCCCCACATGTGTCTAGTAATGGTTTGTGCTTTAACTGTTAGAGATGGCTCTGCTTTGAAACTTAACCTGGAGCCCCCATTCCCTTTTCGAACCCAGAGCCCCCTTTCCCTTTTCTCTTTGCTCATTTCTCTCCCCTTACCTTCCTAACTTTTCTATTCCCCCAGCTGTTATAAAATAGGATAATTAAATCAAGTAAGGACATTAGTCTTCTGATTTCCCCTTAGGCCTCAGAATAAGGTGATATAAGAAAAACAAAGGAAGGTACCAGTGGTGAAAAGCATTTCCAGCACTTATCAGTCAGTTCCCACTTAGATCTCTTTTACATTAAAAGCTCATGGGGGAAAAAAAAGTGATCTACTTTTATTGACTAGGAACTCTGGGGGTATAGTGGATAAGGCATCTGACTGCTAACCAGAAGGTCAGCAGTTCAAACCCACCTGCTGCTCCATGGAAGGAAGATGGGGTGATCTGTTTCTGTAAAGATTTACAGCCTTGGAAACCCAGTGGGGATCACTATGAGTCAGAACCGACTTGATGGCAGTGAGTTTAGTTTAGTTTTTATTTATTTGTTTGTTTTTTTGACTTGATTCCTTTCAAGAGATTGGCAAGAACAGAGTTGAGGTGCTGTCAGGCTTAAAGTTTTAGTGATCATTTGGGCCTTTTTCTAAATGGTTTTAATGCCATTCATTTTAATTGTGTATGTGCTGAGTGACTAAAAAAAAGTATTGGTCTGGTTGTCTGAGCAAGATTAATCTTTTAATCCTTTAGAATAAAAGGAATTTTGTGACCTTATTATGTTTAAAAATGAAAATTCATGATAGTGTTCATTCAGTTATTTATTCAAAAGGTATATATTATCTTCTATGTGCCAAGCACTGTGCTAGATAATGGAGACATAATGGTAAATAAAAAAACCTGGTCTCTGCCTCACAAAGTGCATAGCTCAGTGGTGAACACAAGTAGGTATACTGGCAATAACGCATCTGTGTGAGAAGTGCAGTGATAAGAGAAACCACAGAGAGGAGGGACATCTAATTCAGCTTTGGCAAGTTCTATTACCTTTATCATGAATTTATCAAAACTGATGAGAGATACTGTGACTTATAAGGGATTGCTTTACTTTTTCTAAGTATGTCTGCCTCTGGAAATTAGAATTTTGAGGTAGTTGTTTAAATGCTTTTAATCTAATAGAATAATTAGCCTTTGGCTTTTATTACCCCATAACCTTCAACTTGGCTATAATGACCAAGGAACTATATGAATAGCTGAGGAATGTATATACAACTTCCTCATTTTACCTGAAAATGTTTAGTGCTATTTGGAGTATCCTACTTAGTCTTTTTTTGTTGTTGCTTCATACAGCTATTCTTTCAGCACCTGGAAGTGTATGAAAATTTGAGTGTTGCCAGTACTTTGATGGTTCCAACTTACACAATTTATGAATTGTCTTTGGGGATTTTTTCTCTTTGGTTAATTTCTCTTCCCACTGACAGAGTCATAATTAACTCAGTATTCATACTTATGACACACTGTGAAGGAAATAACAGATAACAATAAGCATACCTCATAAATAAGGTTTAAGTGAACATTTTTATTCCATATTATTTTCTGTACTGAGCTCATTATGTTTATGAATTGTGTTATCATTTCCTTTGTTGCTGTTGTTTTAGTATTTGCTGAATATTTGTGCTTGTCCTCTTTTTTATTGTGATATGAAGGTTTATCATTTTTCTTTGA